ATTGATGCCAAGAGTGGGGTTGTTGCTGTGGCTAACTTGACCATGTGGTTCAGAGGTTTTTGAGCTTTTTTTGAAATTTGTGGGAAGAATTTTCAAATGCTTAACAGCACAAGGTGTAAATGCTTTAGATTGTTGTAAGTGGAGCTTAATGAGTGATTCTAGTGGGAGCTCAGAAGACCAGAATGCCAATAGGACTGTGCACAGTGAAGACAGGGCTCAAGAGGGTTTAGAGGAAAAGGAAGATACTATTGGTCACCAGGACAGAACTACACCAGCCCTTTGGACTGATCATCACCATGCCATGTGTCCCAGATACTGGATGTGGTGCTATGGTACTTGTTTGTCCAGCTGGATTTCAGTCTTGCTTTGGCCCTATCCCTTCTTTCAATTCCTCTATTTTTCTAAATGGAAATGTTCATTCTGTATCTTTATATATTGGATACTTGTAAATAATTGGACTAGAAGCCATTCATGTTATGTTCTGGCTGAGAAGTTGTCTGCATCTTCCCTGTGTCCTTCTTAATCTGGTGGAAGAAATTTCTATGCAGCATAGCATTCAGACAGTGGCATGGCTTTTAGCCAACTTTATTGTGATAATCAGGAGCAGAGTAGAAAGATTTGAAAAACTTGAACTCAAAAGGTAGGAGTAAAACTGGGGCTAAGGAAGTTGCAGTTATTAAAGACATTACCACCACTAAAGACATGCTAAAAATGACCAAAGACAATAAGAAAGACGGCTTGAGGATAACTCAGGAATTGGCAATATCATGTCCATCTTGGACTCAAGGAAGTAAAAATAAAAATTCCCTTGAGAATAGACTAGTGGGGTACCCTTTTTGCACAGGAGGGCCTAGAAAGTTGCTTCAACATGCTTGTCTACCCAGGCACTCAGAGGCTACTGCAGCTATGGTCCTTGGAGGCTTGGGTACTGCTGGATATGGTGGTAGACCTTGGTATCAACCACATTGTACTGGTTCTCCAGGAATACAGGATGCTGGAATTAGTTATGGAGTTATGGAGGCTTCCACCAATATTTCAAAGGAAGGCCTTGGAGGCTAAGCAAAGTGTAGTAGATTTGAGTCCCTGTGGGCACCCCCTGAGAAAGCAAAATGTGAAGATGTGAGGACAAAGCTGAAGCTGCAGTGGAGACACCCAAGATTTAAAAATGCCAGTACTATGGAACGTACTGAGGAAGGCTGTAGGAATAGAGTTGAGACAAGCCAA